TTTTCTAAACGAAAACAAATATTTCATCATAATCACGTGTTATGACGTCCGATCTCACTAAAAACTGCATCAAATATTAATTCAATCTTTATGTGACTTATKTGCAAAAAAGATTTGCAATCGGMTAAAAGACGTTTATGCACTAGCGTTCCAAAAGTGGAAGGTAGCGGTCAAGCGTGAGGGGGTCGAGCCACCTTAAGTGCGTTGTTCAATCCCACGCAGCTGCCATGCGAGAAAGTTTCATACTAGAGTATTCTAAGTCGCAAACATATGATATCCGCCAGATCCCTTTGACTTACCGAGAGTCTTTAGTGAATTCTCGATGGCTTCATCGATGTCTAGATTATTAAAGCATGATGGGATAGGTGGAGGTGGTTGTACCATTACAATTCTACTGGCAGGGACACCCAGGCTTAATAATCCCTGGATGGTAGTATAAGCTTCCATTGCCCATCCATACACTACAGCTTTACCTGATAAAATACAGCATAACAAGTAAGGAAATATAAACAGACAGACGAACCAAGATATATTTTTTCATACCATCAGAAGCCAAAAACTGATCCTTTAGCCACTTGACAATGTGAGCAGAATCTTGCAGTGAGTTGATAGCAAACACGTTGCCAGGCAACGTCCCTCGATAGACAGTATCACGGGGTCTCTCTACCTCACTGGTGGTCACAAGGGTACTGATATCAGCACCGGATGGCACCGGGATTTGGAACTGTTGCCCCGTGCACAGGACCAGATAGTCGTATGGTACCTTGTGGTCGTTTGTGACGTACACAATTTTATTGGTTCTGAAAAACACATTAAGCTTTAGTTAGAGACCTTTCAGCTGATAGCTACACCATTTCCCCTGGTACCCCTCTCCCATCCACTCCGACATGATTATTGAAAAATGAGAAGCGAAAAGGTATGAAAGAAGAGGATAGATATAGAGGATGAGGCTGATTTGCTTGCTATGATATTAAAGAGAGAATAGTTATTTTCAATTCTGTTACCTGTCAATGCGAGTCATTTTCTCCTTCACAACATTAATCCAAGTTCTCAGTGACATGTGGGCGTGGTCATCGTCTGTAAAACACAAACTGAAAAAACGACGCCATTAGAACGGTTCCACTTTAGGAAAGGCACTCAATTGGTTGCATAAAAGTAGCCTTGCTTTACGATAACATGTACATAATCTTGTAATAAGGCCAGCAATGATTCACTCACCTTGAAGGAAGAAACTGATTGACCTGGGGATCTGGTGCAGACTGGCCAGGAAGCCCTTGGGGGGTGATGAGCGTAAGGTTGTTAAACCTCAAATGTGGACTGTAAAAAGAGAGTAGAAGTCACTTGATCAACATCATGAATGCAAGAATCCAAGTTTTATTTCAGTGTTAGTTAAACTTACCAAAACACGAATGTTTCTAGGAATGAGATGCCAACATCTGAAGCACCGACTACCACAATACGAGCGTTGATGGCAACCTAAATTAAAGAGTAACCAAAAAGTACAGACTTTTTTATTGGTTTAAAAATAGTGCGCCTTAGGGTGTCAACTGAGAAAGCCCTCGAAACTCCGCAAGGCAGCAAAGAGAGACATTGCCGGCTACTTTTTCATTAGATTTTTTGAAATTTTCGACATTGTTCGAAAATTAATAGCCAGCTACCCTGGGCTCCAGACGTTCTGGTTCGTTCACTTGGAAAGCGAATAACCTTGGCCGACGTGTAATAACCAATCCCCTCCCCTTGGACCGCTACAATCCAAGGGTAATAACCACTCCCTGGACCAACCACTGAACCAGCCCTCACCCCCAAAAAATTAAAAGGAATTACAAGATGTTTTCAGCTTAAATAAAGACGTAATTCGCTAGATGGTACTACCTTTGGCTCTAGGGTTAGTTTTCTGTTCAGGTGATTCAAAGCAAATGGTTCCTGGAAAAGAGAAAAAAATATATTCACGACTGAAACTGGGACATTAAGGCTAGACTTGGCTTCTTGTAAAATCCCTGTGAATAAGAGTACGCTCACATGCAAACTGGCACACTGCGCCATCACAGATTACAGTATATGTATACAGACATTACTAACCTTTGGTTGTAGGATCCGGTCTGACGGAGCATTGCCTCCTAACTGTTCAACTGGGTATATGATTTGACGGCGTGCCCTGTACAAATGAAAAAGTCAGCTACTAAAGGCTTTGGGGTGGAGAATGGGTAGAAATCTACCACCTTTCTTCTTCTGACCCAACTACCTGTGCCCCCCCCCCCCCCTTACACCCACTGCCTTAAACCTAATGGGATTTACCACTCTATAGTGGACGGCAGAAACCCTGACAGAATTTTTAAAAAAACACTTGATCGAATTAGAATTTTAAAAATGATTTATGAGAAGGGAGGAAAATCCGGAAAACTAGGGGAACCCTTGAAGCACTGGAGAGAATCAACAAACAACTCTACTCCATCACATACGACACCGAGACCGGCAATAGAATCCAAACCATCCCCTAATTATCTTACACATCCCCACATATATCACACCCCATCGTTTACTGAATAATCATGATCAGGAAAACAGGCGTAAGAACAAACAGATAAACATGATTCTTACTTTATGGTGACCAAATCATTCAGCGCAGTCACTGTGGAGTGAGGCTTTATACCCTGAAAGAATAAATACAAAAAAATCACATGTGAATAATCTCTTACGCAGCACAGAAAAATCCGAGATAAAAACAGGAGCAGGGCCCGGTTATATGAAGGGTGGATTGCGCGAACCGACGGATAAATCTTATCGAGTGGTAAAAATTATTGGATAAAAGCTAGAGCCAATCTCCACTGTTCCACTGGATAAGGATTCATCCGTCGAATAGCGCTATCCACCCTTCGTACAACCGGGCCCAGAGGGTTGAAAAACGAGATCGATATAGATATAAAAGTAAAAAATTATTTGAACGATCCATCTTAAAATTCTAAAAGAAACTGAATGATTGTGAGTAATAAATGACGGCTAACCAGGGGCCGGGCTGACCAAACAATGCTTACCTCTAAAGTTGAATATCGAGGAAAGATTGGATAATAGAGACAAGACTTGTGAGACAGTCGTAGCACTTCCTACAATAAAACAACTATCGGTTAGATATTCCTTCATAAAGGAAAGTTTTTTAGTACAATGGTTATTCGAAACGCGATAAGCACGCGGCACAGTGTCAAGCGTTCTGATTGGATGACTCTCACGAAAAGAAGGGGAAGCCATTTAAATGTTACGGGATGTCATACCGTGTGTATGTACGTACATAATGTAGAACCGTACTCAGAACCGTACGTTTCCCACGGCGAAAACCAGTAAAAGACAGCTATGGTAATGATACAAATTCGAGTTGTTGCTCAGGGTAAGGAACAAAAACTACAGCAACAACAGCAACCACGCTGCAGCAACAACAGCAACAACAACGACGACGACGTCACGTGGAATTTTAGTTTGTATTAGTGCAACAAAATAAATCTTGGCTGGATTGGCAAAGAGGTAGAAATCATTACTAGTAACAATCCCGTGAACCGAACAACTTCAGTATATGCGCCCTGGGAAACCTCCGACGTCCGGGGATATATAACAACCCGTTCCTGGACTCCCCGAGCATTCATAGGTTCCGCTCGCTTGTCCACGGGATTTACATTATACTGTTGTCCGGTAGCCCCCAGATCTAACAGTCCCGTCTGGTAAAAGACCCCCTTGAATTGATTTTTCTAGAGGAATTGTTCTGAGCGACAAAACAATAGGCCGTCTTTTTTCATGCGAAAAAAAATAAAAAATAAATAAATAAAAATTTGTAATCCAGAACAATTCCTCTCGGGACTCATACCTTGCAATTAAAGAAAATGATATACCTAAATACATGCATGGCTCTTAATAACATGTACCTTGAGGAAGTGTTTGGAGTACTGCTGGAATATAGGGTTGAGTACAAAGTGATGTAAGTGAGCATGTTCTTCACGCTGGTGATGATTGAAGTACACAAAGTCTTCGATGCTGTAGTGCGAACGAATATACTCTATATCCTGACAAATAAAAACCACATTCAACATTAAACTATAATATCAAATACTGATTCAGAGAGTCAAAGGTGGCATAGCGGAAGTGCACTCGCCTTGAACCTTCTGSAGTTGGCTCTGGTTTGATTCCTGGACTCGGCGTCAAATGTGAGTAGAGTTTGTTAGGTCTTTATCTACCTTGATTCGAGGGCTTTTCTCCGGGTTCTCCAGTTTTCCTTCAGACGAGGACTCCCTACAACCTAACAAGCTAAATCCCTATTCTATCTGTGAGTAGTTCGACGGTCCCTGACTTCTGAGGTCTTTTCAAAGTTCTGTGTGAGTGCGTGCTTGAAAACTGTTGGGGATATTTTATACGAGCGTGTGTTTTAAAAACGACGATTACCAATTACTCAACACCAGTGATATTAAAAAATCAACCATGTCTTGATTAAAAGTGTTTGTTTGCCGAAGGAAAAAGATGTTCTGCAAAAATCATATAAATATGCAGTACAAAGAGGGTTCCTTCTTCCCGCAATATCAAATTAACAATAATATACCATACCTCTTCTCGTCTGAGGATTGCCACGCCCACTATTTGACCCATCGACTCGGCGACAAAGGCTTGTAGTTGTGTCCCATCCTGGACATAGTGAATGCACGAAAACGTAAGAAATAGTGGACTCGAACTTGACCTTTATAATACGGACACCAATTATATAGGGGGTTACCGTAACACAGAGATGACCGTAAAATAGAGGTGACCGTAATATAGGGCTGGGTCTACGAAACAATAAATTGTATGGTGATTTTGCCTGGACCTAAATATCGGTCCGTAATAGAGAGGTGTCGAGTGCTTGGTAGCAAAAAACCTGCCTTTAACAAGTTATTATAATTTAAAATGCAATAAGATACTCACATGATCTCTACGTGATGCGATGTACTGTTCGATGTCACTGGGAAAAGAAATAATAAATCGTTTGGTCAGAACCGATATCTCTGAGCTCTTAGTGAAAAACGCAATAAGATGCTCTTAAAAAACGGCTTCTCTATCCAAGCTCTGCAGTCAAAATGGAAAGGAAAGAAAAGGAAAGGAAAAGGAAGGAAGGAACGGGAAGGAAGGAAGGAAGGAACGGGAAGGAAGGAAGGAAGGAAGCAAGCAAGGCAGGCAGGCAGGCAGGCAGGCAGGCAGGCAGGCAAGCATGTTATCGTAAATAAGCAGTTTTAATTAAGGAACAAGACCTTACGTCATTATTCTGTTAGATCCTTTCAGACTCTTCACTACATTTTTGATGCCATCAGTGTCTGAAGTTGTACAAGGCTTAACGCTAAATGATCTGTAGATACAACAAGACACTGATGATTAGTATTAGCAAATCACAAATTGAAGGTTGGGACAGGAGTGGTTAATAATGTACACTTACTCTATGAGACCCCAGCGATGATAGACATACAGTTCCTGTGAAAGGGTGCTGTGTCTTTTTGGAGTCACTCTCTGTGAGAGAAAAAGACAACAAACGTTGAGTAAGACACTCACTTACATGCAATGATTTACGTGTAAAATAAAAATAAACTAAAAACCAGTCAGGTAGAAAAGCATTTTTGATTTGACCATCATCCACTTGGCTATGTTGAATAGTGTTTTTCATGGATGACGTCACGATTGTGGACAGGCCGACCCAGTGCACGTGCTAATATGCTACAACAATGTTTTGTTGACTTGTTCTTTCCAATAGACTCTTTAGCTTCGTATGCAAATTGCCCATTTCAGATCACATGACATTCCCTTGAGAATTGTTCTTTTATGACGAACATGTTAAAATATTTACACATGAAATAAACAACTCCCAAGAGTGGAATCACATGGTCTGTATGTGCACAACAAAGCTAAAATATATATTTACTTCCTACCATTGTTTGTCATGTGTACTTGTGTGCTGTAAGTACAGTACGTAATCAGTATCCCATTCATATATTAATATGGACTCTGGTTTTAAAAATAGTTTTTCATAGATAATAGAGAAACATACCGTGAAGGATTGTAGAAGAGGAAACTCCGAAACAAGGTGTGGCATGGTTAGTATACAATAATCTCTATCCTGTTAATAAAAAATACATGAATATTCAAATGTTATCTTTGATAACACTAATAATTTACAACAATCAGTTACAGAATGCACTTGAAGCATTATTCTAATCTGAACTAATACTATAATCTTTGTACACCTATTTTAAAGAATGTTGTCGGTTGGCGATCCGAAATCTAAGGTTGAGTAGCACCCCCGGGGGAGGGGGGGGGGGGTACTCCCCTATATTTGCTATATGGGTACGTGCCGCCAAACAGGGTATGGTTTTCAGCGATTCTACTCTGAAACAGCGTATACAAAATCGCACTCGCTCTGGGACAGGGTATATGAAATCACGCTCTCTCCTCTCTGGAACAGGGT